TGCCTCTTTAGGGCCTGCTAGGGCCTCCTGGGGGCTTTTTTGGGTGCGTCATCCTTTTCACTTTGAGGCCAGATGGAGCTGTGTTGGAGCCATCTTGGGTCGTCATGGGGCCATGTGGGGTCGGTTTGACCCGTCTTGGAGGGCATATTGGATCGCCTTGGAGTTTTCGGTAGGGCCATCCTGGCAGTGTTGGGGACCATCTTGGAGGTCTTGGAAATGATATGGGTCAAATTTCCCTGTATCGGGGGCCGTTTTGGATCGCCTGAGGAGCCTTTCGGGAGCGTCGTAGCTCTTTGTTGGGGACTATACAGAACTCCCCACGCGCGCCTGCGCGGAGAGAGTCCTGCATTGCCCAAACGTACCCCAACATCCACGTTTGCTTGGAAACCCCCTCGGTTACCGTTACGAGTCCGTTCCAATTTCCGAACCCACGTGGCGACTCTTCGATCGCGGGCGCTACCGGACTATCCCCGCGCGCGCGGTGGGTGACCCGCGCGCGCGGGTCACCCCAAATCCGCTCAGTCACCGTTAAGGGTGCACTTTAGTTTCCAGGCCAGCATGGCGACCTCTCTCTCTAGTATAGACAATACAGACAAAGCCACGCGCGTGCGTGTAAAGAGTTCTGTAGGTTGTGAAGTACATATGCCAGACCCCTGTGAACTCAGAAACCCTGCCGGTCGCCGCTAAAAAATGCTTTAGTTTCCAAACCTACATTGCTACGTCTCGATTGTGAACAGCACGGAACTTTCCACGTGCGCGCGCGGTGGCCATCGGGTGACCCGCGCGCGGGCGCGGGTCACCCGAAATCCGCTCTGTCACCGTGAAAGATCCGATTGAGCTTCCAAGCCAACATGCCGATGTTTATGTAGTACCAGCGCGCGTGCGTGAGGAGGGGGGCGGGGATTTGTTTTGTTAAAAACAACCGAACAAACGTCATCTTCGAAGCCCAACTGGTCGCCGTTACCAGTACACTTTGATCTCCAGACCAACATTACGATGCTTATTGTGTGGGCGATACAGAAGTCCCCACGCGCGCCTGGTGAGTTCTGTGTTGTCCAGCGTAAAAAAAAAAACATACACCAGTACCAATGTTAAGTCGGGAACCCAATCGGTCACCGTGAAGAACTCACTGTAATTTCCGAGCCAGCATGGCGACTGTTCGACTGCGGACACCGAAGAAATCTCCACACGCGCGCGAGTTCCCATAGACACCCGCGCACCGCGGGTGCTCCGCGCGCGGGCGCGGGTCACCCGAAATCGGCTCGGTCACCGTTCAAAACTCACTTTAGTTTCCAAGCCAACATGCCGATTTTCGAGTGCGGACAATACAGAATTCACAGCGCGCGCACGTTGGGATCCCTGTATTGCTTGTCGTAAAGATCACAAGAAAAACCCAATGTCATCTTGGAAACCCAGCCGGTCGCCGTGGACGATTCACTTTACTTCCCAAACCAACATGGCGACTCTTCGATTCGGTCAGCAATACATAACTCACAGCGCGCGCGCTCGCGCGCACGGGTGACCCGCGCGCGCGCGGGCCCACAACTCCCGCGCGACGAGCCCGGGAAAACTACCCAGCGTCGGCCGAGCTCGACATGCACAGGGCAGCTGTTGTGCTCCCCGGGCTCGGCGGCCCCCCCCCCACTGGTGGACGGGCGGGCGATGGAACCGCCCAGTTCCCCCAGTTCCCCCAGATCGGCGGGCGCAAATTTCCACATGGTTGGGGCCAACGGTCGGCCCCAAACAAGAAGTCACCGCGGCGCGGAGACGCAAGCCTCGTTCGGCTCCGTAGAAGGCTTGCGTGCTCTACGGCGAATCCCGCGTTGCGTCTCTCGCGCGCACTGATCCCCCGCGCGCCCACAACGCCATTTCCCCGGCAGTGCGCACATCGCACGCGCAAGCGGTTTGTTCGGGACTGACTTCTGGCCACCGATCACAAAATCCACGAAAACACCTTGTCAATTACCCCTGTTATCACCGCCCAATGATACACTTAAGTCCCACGTTAAGGTTGGGTAGACAATTGATCTCTGGTCTCGGATCTGGCCGGTCCTCGATCGTCGCTCTGGTCGAGTAGGGGTCCAGTGGACCAAAAGCCACTTGACGGCCCATCAGCGGGCCCAATTCGCCAAAGGTGAGCAAGAACCTGACGGGGTATGTTGACCGCCTCACCTCTGCGAGCTTGGATAGGTTGCTCTCAGTGCATAGGGAGGTCATCCTAGCTACCCTGGCCGTGTTTCTGACAGGCTCGGTCGCCAGCCTCCGCGACCCATTCCTCTTCACTTCTTCTGCGTGCGACGTGATCGGTTGCGGAGAGCTAGCCACGAGCCTGTCCAGACAGGCGGAGCTTGCAAGTGTCAAACTTGTGATCGTACGTTTTCTCTGCGTGGCCAAGCGCGTTCTTTCTGCCCTGGACCCTGTCTCTGTCCTAAGCACCTTGGCTTTGACCCCATCCGGCACGCTTCGTACCGTAAGTGTTCCGCCGGAAACGGGCTTCAGGTGCTTCGAGGGGTGATGTATTGTGGCAGGTGTGGCGCCCACGCCACAGTGAATGCACAGAGCCCTGCTCATCCTTGTAAGGCCATTGGTCGGCCTCACCAAGGCCTCCCCCCCCAAGAGCGGAGGTAGCCTCCCCCAGATGTGATGGGCTACCGTCGTGCCCAGGCTTGACCTGTCTCCACTGGCTTCTGAACCTGGATCTCCTCCCCCTCCTCCCCATTTCCCTCCTCCACCTCCTCTCTACAGTTACACATCCTGAAGACCATTCTCCTCTCTCCCCTGACTCTGCGCGGAAGATGTTCGTGTCTCTCCGTGTACGGTTTGCACACACAAGACTTCACGCATTGATTGGATTTGCGATTGTTGTCGGTCCTTCGAAATCGTGCTCCCGCTGCAGCGCTGGCCCCATTGGCACGCCTCTGGTCCTTCAGAACGGTGCTCCCGCTGCAGCGCTGGTTTCCTTTCCGCATATTCAGTCCTTCCGAATGGTGCTCCGCATGATCATCAGGACACCAAGGCGACGCGCTACCCGCCAAACGACCCCGACGAGCAGCACCCAAGGACACGCGGACGACCGCACGACCACTCAAGCACCTGACCAAGAAACCAGCAGCAGCGACGACGCAGAGAGCAACGCGCCCCAACAAGACACGACCGACCGACACAGCGAGAGCAACGACAACAACAATGACGAGGACGCGATGGAGCCGTAGGTCGACTACATCCAGCGAGCCACGCGGCGCGCAGAACAGCTCATGCAGCACCACCACATCGAAAACTGGGAGACGATTCACAGACAGAGGTCGTGGCGCATGGCATCCAAGGTAGCCAAACACGAGCCCACCAGATGGACGTGGCGTGCACTGCACTGGCAACCAGGAGAGAACTCACGGCAACGTGGCCAGAGACACCACGGCGGCCAGCGCAAGCGCTGGGACGACGACCTCATCAGCTTCCTTCAAGAACACCGACCCGACCTGCACCCAGCGCCCGCACCAACCAACGAGCAGGGCAAGCCGAACGACCTCACTTGGGTTCGCTCAGCTCAAGACACCACCACGTGGTCGACACTCGAACACAAATACATCAGCACGTCGCCGACATTCACAACCAGGACTTCCTCCTCCTCTCCTCCTCCGTCATAACTTTTTGTGTGTTGCACAGAATCATTCATTGTGTGTCTCGCAGTTCCTGTGCATGTCTCTATGTTTACAGGAGGCCATGGCCTCACCCACCTGGTCTGAGCAGGCCCAGACAGCTGTCCGATGTGGTGGTTCGTTCGTTCGTTCGAATGGTGCTCCCGCTGCAGCGCTGGCCTCATCTCCGCGCCTCTGATCATTTAGAACCGTGCTCCCGCTGCAGCGCTGGCTTCGTTTCCGCATATTCAGTCCTTCCGAGTGGTGCTCCCGCTGCAACGCTGGTCTCATTTCCGCGTTTGCGGTCATTCAAGATGTGGCTCCCGCTGCAGCACCCGCATCGTCTCCAAATTGCCGGTCCTCCAGCAAGGTTCCCCGCCCCCGACGGATCGGTGAAGTGGACAGCTCACGTTAAAAACCGAGAGAGGCGATGCAGTCGGGCTTCATTGGACAGGACACGCGAGAGGACACAAGACCCTTCCGAGGGCCACATTGCCACAGGGATGCAGGAGGCACGGGCCGCGAGACACAGGACACAAAGGTACCCTGGATTTGGCAGGGTCGACCTACTAATCCGGGCCGACTATACCACCACCACCAGCGCGGGGATCCAGGAGTCGTCCTGGTGGTGCGCCCCCCCCTCCGTCGATCGAGACATCCCCTGCATCCCCAGTGCGGGGAGGCATCGTGGCCCTCCTCGATGGAGAGGGCATCCCTGGTGGTAGTGCCGATTTTCTCGCCTCCGAGATCCTGAGATCCGACGTTGCGGAACAAACGCGACATCGCAAACAATCGCGACCAGAGCACTAGACTCAATCTTTCTGATGCACTTTTCGAGCCGGATCTGTATGTGATGGTCCCAGGGCCCGAAAACGGGCGAAAACTCCTCAAGCTCAGTATGAAAAAAATGCAACGCTCAGATCGCATGGGACGACCCCCGAGGCTCTCGGTTCAAGGATCGCGCCGGCGCACGCGGCGGCGCGCGGGCGCGCTCAGAGGTCGGGTGGGGGCCCTGGCCATGACATCCACGCGCACACAGCCCTCATTCCCCTCTTCGCCGCCCCCGCAAGCACGGCGAGGTGGACAGGTAGCGCCCCCCAGACATCCGATGTCTTGGCCTGATCAACGCGGGGTCCCCAAGAGTCCCGACCCTTCCCCCAGGCCGGCTTCTCATCCCGAGTCGTCTTGACGCGCCCAGGACAGAGCGAGGACCCCGGAAGACAAACAAAAAAAACCCAAACCTCCCGCCAATAGTTGTTCGACGACGAGGGCATGTCTGCTCCTCGAGGCTCGAGGTTCGAAGATCGCGCCAGCGAGCGCGCGCGCGCACGCGCAGAGGCGCGCCCAAAGAGGGCGGGGCGGGGCCTGCCCCGCGTCGCGGAAGGCGCGCCCCAGCCTGCGAAGCGCATGCGCCCGCCTGTGGGCGCGGCCGCCGCCTCTTGCCCCTCTCGCCACTGAGCCTGTCTCGCGCGGCTTCTGCAGAGGCCTCCCAAACGGGATCCGAGTAGACGGGGTCGAAGGATCACGCCGCATCGATGCTGTATCACCGATGCATGGGGCAACGTCGACGTGGATCGAATCCGGCTCCACATCGAGCCCCATCGCTGACGCCTCGGCGATGCGATGCGGGGCGATCCTCCGACCCAGTCAAGTCCGACCCCACCTGGGAGGCCTGGCGCTTCTGCGGGCGCCCGCCGCACCTTTTGTACCGAGGCTTGTGGATGCCATGACAATGGACACTCGAGCAATCCTATCATTGAACTAAAGATGTGTGTTAAAGTGTGTAACAACATTCTTAGACATCTGGAAATTATTTGGCAGCATGCTTCCTCTCCAAAATCATCGACTTCCACAAACCGAGGCCAGAGGCCACTCAAAATCCAGACACGCATGCGCCCTCAGCAGCACACGACGGGAGGTGTTGGCCCGCTTTGGGCCTCCGGGGGGCCTCGCCAAGCCCCTCCGGGCCGTCGACACCGACTTGGGGGCCTTCCAGGGCTCCCGCATTGAAGGGTCAAGACGTCAGACCCTGAGATCCGACGTTGCAAAACAAAATACAACTAGTGGAAAATCACGGCCGGCACCCCTGATCCCAGCTCTCTGCAGAAGTGTCGAACCCGATCAATATGTAATGGCCCTGGGGCCCAAAACTGGGCGAACACGCCCAGTGTGAAAAAAATGCGACGCCTTGGGGAAGCCGCTCAGAACAGCGTGTTCCCCATCGCCTTGGGCTGCAGGACTGGGGGGGCCGGAGCTTGCCCCGCGGGTGAACTTTTGTGCCAGGGGTGCCCCCTCCAGAGGCCGCCGAGAGGCCGGGCCCACAGTCGGTTCCTGCAAATCCCCACCATCTCCTCATCCTCCTACTCCTCCACCTCCTCCTCCGCCATCTCCTCTGATCCCCTGCTCCTCCTCCTGCTCTTCCTCCTCCTCCTCCTCCTCCTCCTCCAATCCTTGTCCTTATAAGTAAATCCTCCCTGTCGCACCCCGAAGCCGGTCGAAAGGGCGGGCCGGGCGTTTCGCCTGAGATTTCCTTACCACTTACGACCCTGATGCTTAAGCATTGACAGCAATTTCAAACATGGAGGGCGGGTGGTTCTCAAAATGTGGCTCTCGCCTTAGTGCCGTGAACAGCCAGTGTAAAAAAGGCAAGAGCTTCACGGATTGAGGCCGGGTGGTTTTCAAAATGTGGCTCTGGCCTGAACGCCACGCACATTCGCTGTAGCAGAAACCAGGAGCTTCACGGATTGAGGGCGGCTTGTTTTCAGAATGTGGCCCTCGCTTTAGCGCCTCCACATTCGTTGTAAACACTTGCAAGAGTTTCAGCGGTTGTCATGGCAAACGAACCAGAAGTGCTTTGGAACGATTCAAAGCTGTCAGAGCGCACCAGTTACTCTGATTCGCGGCCCAGGAATCGTGCTCTGGCAAGATTCAGGATCGCCAAGACGTAACAGTCAGGCTAACTCGTGGCGTTGAAGTCCTGAGTGTGGTGTTTTTGGTACGCTTCAAGATGTTCACGCGATGTTCCCCCAACGGGGCAATTCCCTGAGTGGAAATGACCCCTTGCAGGGGTGTATGAAGAGGGGTCCTGGAGGGAGGGTCTACTTCAACATCGCTGATGAGGCTTAGGTTTGCACTTGTCCTCCTCCTCCTCCTCCTCCTCCTCCTCCTCCTCCTCCTCCTCCTTTGCGTTCACCAGACCTTACGCGTGCGCATGTTGTGTTATTCTTCCTCCTCATCCTCCTCCTCCTCCTCCTCCTCCTTCTCCTCCTCCTCCTCCTCCTCCTCCTCCTCCTCCTCCTCCTCCTCTTCCTCTTCCTCCTCCCCGTCCTCCTCCCCCTCCTCCTCGCGGGCGCACGCTAAAATGGATTAGGGATCCGTGAATCCCCCTCCTCCACCCACCTCGCGAAGAATGCCTTGCCGCATGCGGCGGGCGAAGATGGCCCCGGCCCAGCAGACTTCCTGCGCCTGGCATCGGCGCATCTGGCGGCGGCACTTTCGGCAAAGCGGAGCAGCTGAATAGCACTGCTTGAGAACTATTGTACTGGGCCCTATTGGGCGCAGCGCGCCCGCGCGGGCGCGATTGGGCGCTATACGTACCATGCAAGTTGAGCGGAACTCACCGCAACCTACTATCTAACCACCCATCTCGCGAGGAAGACCTTGCCGCAGGAGGCGGCGGAATCGGCCCCGCCCCACTGGGCTTCCTGTGCACGGTCTCTGCAGACCTGGCGGCGGCAGAATTTGAGGAACAAAGATCTGCATAAATATGCACGTTTGGAGCTCCGTGCGGATTTCTTGGATCGGCGCTGGAACCCCCTCCAGTGGCGGCGCCAGGCGTCCGCCAGGGGGCCCAGCACCGATCCAAGAAATCCGCGCGTAGCTCCGAAAGTGCATGTTTATGCAAATTCTTCCTCTTC